GAAAGACACTTTCTTAGCCCTGCAAAGGAAATTAAATTAAAATTCCAAGACGATTCATCTTCACAAGGTAGTAGGAAAAAAAAAAATTACATTTCCGCCTTTTGCTGTAATTTTAGATTTTTGACCTTTACTTTTCAGCCTTTTGTACACAGCAACTCAGGCCCGGTTGGTGAGCTCCTCTGAAAATATTACTTGTGTATATGCAACCAAATTTTAAAATTTTTCGTTCAAACACAAAATGGTGGGTCTACAGAGGCGCATGTAAAATACATGTAGAACCTTAAAATGGCTCCGTGTTTGGCAACCAATGGCACACGGAGTCGCCCTTTTTACAACAACCAATCACAGAGCAGCACTTGACTTGCCACACCGTGAATTATGGTGCATGGTGATAGGTTACTGGAAATCTCAACCGAGGAAACCCATTGGCCACAGCGCTCGGAGATGTTTGACAGTAGAGTTACTAGGCTGAGCAGCAGAGTTGGCACCGCGTTCGTAGCCCCTGTGCAGTGTATCAACCAATCACAAGGAGCCGTCACAGGGTGTTGTTATTGTTGTGAACGGCTTCGGGGCAGGAAACTACTCTGGCACATTTTATCACTGTTTGCAGTCCACAACTTGTACTCCAGAAATGTAGCACATTATACCCCTATGAGAATATCTATGCACTTCCCACAAAACAAACCCACGCTGCTGTTTTGTGCGTCTGCTGCGACTCCGTGTTGCGCACAGTCCTCCAGAGATTTGTTTCCTTTAACAGTATTGAGATGTTTGGTGTTTCAAAGCCGCTGAACGTGGCTGTGCCTCACCACACTCCACGCCAAACCCCTGAATGAGGATGCCATGTGCGGTTTCATGGTCCCTGGCGGTGATGAGTTGTTCCAGGGCACTTCACAGATCCACCCAAGAAGCTGATGATTAGCTTTTGCAACAGGCATTCAGGTGTATCTGCATGGCTCCGAGGGAGGCGGCCATTGTTTGCTGACAAGTGGAGTTCTCTGTCTCCCCCTCTCACTTTCTCTATTGTTGGGGCGAATGGATGGTATGCGGTGTGGCTGATTGGAGGTGATAGCCATATCGGCCGCTGGAGATCCACTAATGCAAACTCAAAACTACTGTGTATTCACTATTCACAGCCCATGCCCACACAGTAATCAGATAGCTGGCTCACTGACAAGCAGTGGTGGAGTGGAATGTGGAGAGAGATGGATGAAAGACAAGGCAAATGCCAGCTTTGTGTTTGCATGTGCATGGTTTGCTCCAACCATACAGTTGTGTAGGTGGTCAAAGCACAGCAGACATATTGTCAAAAACTGCATATATTACAATATTCCCCCTCATTAGCTATGCAGCATGTTTAATAACCAGGTCCTTCTCTCTGGCCATTCATTTCTTGACGCGATAACTGAGGGATGAGCCGCTCTGCGAGGAGGCTTTTTATCAAGGCACGCTTGTGAATTGCACCTTATTTGTCATGTGTCTTTATACGCTATAATTCCAGCTGCAGAATTAATTCAGAGCTGAGCTGCCAGTGTCAGCCAGGAGAATGGAAGGAGCTAAATGAGTAGATATTCCAGCCAAATAGAGGGGCGAGTGTCATTCCAGGTTAATTAAATCCCTGATTTGTGTCTGCCGTGAACACAGACCTCTTTCAGGATGATAGCAGAAAATAAAAGTCCTTTATTTCAGCTTGGACTTTGCGAATACAATCACAAGTCTGATCAGTTTTGCACGTTTAGTGGCTAGACGGTAACACACACGTCCACCCATGCACACGTGCACAAGCACACATCTTTCTTGGTACACGTGATGTTGACAACAAATGCTCGCTGCTGGTCAGATTGCCGTGTTTACGCTGAGGTAGAGTGGCTGCACTAGCCTCAGGAAAAATGACCCTTCCTGCTGATCAAGGGAGGATTGGCCACCTTTCTTATCTATATCATCATTCCCTGTGTCTCATACAGAACTGTGGCTGCTCTTTCTCTCTTCTCAGCATGTGTCCTTATACAACACAGACTGTGTTTTGTGGCCTAATACGTGTTTACTACATCTCACAGCCTGCAGTCTCCATGAACTGCTCTGTTAACGCCATAAGACAGCGTAGAAGCCGGTTCCCTCTGTGATGTTCTGTACTATTCTCCTGTATTTGAATCTCTTAGTCTTTGCCTGTTGTGGCGTCCAGAGTAGTGGATGGTCGTGGAGATTAACAAAGCTTACAGTTGTGGTTATCTCTCCTAAGGCTGTTGCTAGTCTCCCGCTGATTTCCATTCTCAGCATCCCCTCATGGTGCCTCATTAAGACGCAGCGAAACAAGAGCCTCCGACCCAGCGCTACAGCAAGGCCAGGCCCAACATTGTACGGCTGCACCAGATTATACAGCTCGCTGTGTACTCTTTGCCTTCGACCGCACATTGGTTTGCTCTAAGCATGTTTTCTCAGATTGTGTTTTGTCACTTTCTGTTATTGTCGTGTTTTTTTTTTCCCAGAGAGGAAGAAGAGGGGTGTTTTTCTAAGAGTGTGAGAGAGCGAGAGAGTGAGAGAAGGGATTTTGGGGATAAGCTGTTGTTTTCTCATTGAGCAACATTTGAAGGTCAACTCTGTGCTGACTAGGGCATTAGTGAGAAGCCAAAGAATTTTATTTCGATATGAATAATGCATTGACAGTGTCTCTGTTTTCAGCCCACACGTTTTTTCACTTCATTTAGCTCGCCGCCATTGAGGTTTTAGTGCTGCAGCTTAAATTGAAAGTCAAATACAGTTTAACAAGTGTCTTTCCCCATAACAACCATTTTTATTTTATTATATTTTATATGATTTTTTTATTCCTGCATTATTGGTTCCAGCCCCCTGCGACCCCCAGAGGATAAGCCATACATAGATATGGATGGATAGTTCTGTTAACCACAAGCATGCTTTGACCAATCACAGTACAGTATAGACTTTGTGAGCTAATTATTTATTTTTTTACATGCACTCTTTTTCTGCTACTGATATTTACATACAGGCTTCATTTTGCTTTGGCCGAAATGTCAAATCAAACATTGTCACTTCTTGTCTATCATGTAATGAACACTGTTTCCTAAGACCTGCCAGCAATATTGTGTTCTTCAATCTGCACTTTTCAACATTGTGTTCTGTTTCTTGTTGTCATGCTTTTTTTGATGCACTTGTATTCCAAAAAAAAAAGACAATTTTCTAAACCCAAATGTGGCACTGTCTGTTTCTTTTTCTTCTTCTACAGAGATGTTGAAGGAGCTGAACCAACAGCGCAGAGCGAAAGAGTTTACAGACCTGAAAATAATTGTTGAAGGCAAAGAGTTTGAAGTCCACCAAAATGTTCTAGCTTCCTGCAGCTTGTATTTCAAGGACCTGGTGAAAAGGTTTGCCTTCGCTTCCCTTCTTCCCACCAGCTGTTGATCCAATCTGTTCTTTTCATAGGGCGCATTTGTGTCGCTTTTTTTTTTCTTCTTTTCCCTTCCCCTCTCTCTCTTGCAGGTGTGTGAAGACTTTGGTTCCTAGCACAGGGCCAGCAGCCATTCCTTCCTCTTCCCGCTCAAATGAATGTATCTGAAAGTGGAGAAAGGRAAAAAAAAAAAAAAAAAAGAAAAAGGTCAACCCTCGTCATTACCTTTCCTCCCCCATGTAGGGCAATTTAACCACATTTCCATTTTAATGAGCAGTGAAAATGTTCCATGACTGGGGATGTTCTAAAACTCACCAAAGGGCCAAAACAAAAGAATCATACTTCCTTCACTTTGGGTGGTAATTTGCCAAAGCTACGCTGTCTTCTGTGGGCAGAGGGATTGTTGTCTCCCGAGCTGGCACTTTTTTCTGTTGCTGTTTCGTGAGTTTTGCCGCAAAACAGCCTTTTCATATGCTAATATATCATGGTTAGTCTAATAAGACATTTCAGAGTCATAAACAAAAGGACGAGACAAAAGCGCATCTAAAACAGCTTAATGAACCACCACTTTCACAGGTTAACACCACCTTTCAGTGATGTATTTGTTTGATGTGGATTCAAGTATTCCCTCTCTACTCTGCCCTTCATACTCCATATTTTTATTTTTGTTCATGGGCTGTTTTGTTTCCATGGGTGCCTGTCTGTGTCTGTGCATGTGTGTGTCAGCGGCAGATCCTTTTAGTGTCTCTAGATGTGTGTGCACAACGTGTGAGAGTGACTGTAAAGTCTGATAGCGCAAGTATGTCCTTTTTTATCTGCCTTGTTTTCCGGGAAGGGAATACCACAATTCCCTAATGTCCTCATCCTCACTTCAAATCCTTGCAGGTGTTTTCAGCTTGATTGAGAGTCCCCCGGACCCAAAGTTGTTTTGCCGCCTTGCTGCTTGTGTGCGCGAGTATGTGCGTTTGTTCTCACTTGCATGGCTGGGGATGAAGTGCTGAGCAAATACAAAGACAAAACAGAAGAGATGCACACACACACAGTCGCTGGCGGTGGCTAGAACGCCTTGGGGAAGTTTGCCACTTTGCCCTGCAGCCATGCGAGCTCATCAGAAAGCTGCTTATCAGCCGCTGCTGCCGCGGCCTCCACTCTCGCCGCTGATACACTTGTTCCTCCTGAATGGGGACGGAGAGGGAGGAGGACCAGAGAGAGAACAGAGATAGAAAAGCCACAGAGCAGCGTCTGTTCTAGGATCACTCATCTCCATGACAGCAATACTCGTAGCGCCCGTGAATAAAATCGAGAGGCTCAGTCTTCCTTTGACCTTGACAATAGCAGAGAAGCTTCCTGAGAGACTCGGGTGACTTTGGATAGAATTGAAGCCCTCTGTCCATCAGATTGTCTCGTCTCTGCCTCTTATCCAGGATGTACAGTCGCCAAATCGTTAATGCGTGAAGACGGGGCTCCTGAAAGACGCTGCAGCTCCCAGAGGAGTGGTCTGAGTTTCATCAAGCTCATCTTCATGCCTGCTGCTGCCTACACAGGCTGATTTTTCTTGTTTAATTTGACAGTTTAACAGAGCAAATTCCCATTAATTGGCTAATTAATTGTAAAACTGCTTTGATTTATTATCATAACGGCGTCGTTTTTCACGAGATTATGTCTAAAATAGAAATGTTCTCATTCGCCTCCACACTGGAGAATATCTGATGGATTTGTTATACTAATTGTTAATTTTGGGAGACGTCTCTGCGTCGATTAAATGAAGTCACGATCATCAGCATTATGCTAACGCTGCACCATCCACAGTGATGGCTGTTGATATTAGAGAGTGTGTGGCGCCGTGACTTTATGGAAATGAGAGGTGTGTTAGAAAAGGACAGCGGTGAGAAGTTGACAAGAGAGGGACAGGGAGGAAGAAGCAACATGGGAATAAATGTCAGTAACGAGCGAACGGGGGGGACAGGAGGGGAGGAGAGCGTTTGGGTTGTAGCTGAGAGGCGTTTGCTGTCAGGTGGAGTGCCACAAGCTTGGTTGGACAGAAGCAATGACTACCAAAGGCCTCTCATGTGTCATTCTGGTCACTTTTTCAATGAGTTACAGTGACGCTACCCGTGGCTCGCTGCCGTCCATGTCTTTATGAGGTCACATTAGAGAGAGAGAGAGAGAGAGAGAGAAACTTCATCTCTTTATATGTTCTGTACCCACTCTCCCTTGCCCATCTCAATCAGGATGCATTCACTGCTGTTCAGAGGCCCTGTCAGCCCAATGTAAACCACCTGTGTGTGTGAGTGTGTGCGCGTGCGTGCGTGCACGGAGGATGAAAGGACATAATTCTCATGTGTTATCCAGGCAGACTGCCATTAGTCAGAGTGAAAGTAGAGATGTAATACTGGAGGGTGAGGAACTGCACATCACACACCAACCCAATGACTCACTTACGAAATTAAAGGCCTTATTGGAAAAGAGCCAACATGTAGCAGCATAGAATGACAAAGTAATTATGAAGATTTGTTCAGATTCTATTTAAACAAATTTTGTAGCCCATCTTGACCAGGACTCCCCGACAGAGGAGATGCTGTATGACAAAGGGACTTTCCTGTGTAAACAAAAAATATATAATAAAATATATAAAAGGGTTAAAAAAACACATGCATTTGAACATTTTTGCTTATCTTGCAAATTTCAAATCCTCGCTTTTCCAACATAATCCTCCGATGTCTGCCTCCCTCTTTTAGGTGTTCTCCTCCACTGCCTACGCTCACCTAAAATATTCAGGCCTCTCCTAAAGTATATGTTCATTCAAGCAGCCAGCTCAGCCCATGGTACCTGCAGAATGTAATGCCTCTCCGAAATGTACGCACACGTCTGCCCTTGCCCCCACCCAAAAACCTATTACCCTACCCTTTAAAGGACCGATGCACAGAGCAGGGAGACAGATCATCTCCGGTAATTCCATTTTACCCCTCAGGATTTTCAAATAAGTGTGCTTCGCAGGCATTTAATTTATGGCCACTGCATCAGTAATGTAAAAATCTTTCAGCAGTCCTGACACATGCTTTCATGCCATTTGTTTTTCCTCCCTTCTTCGCCCTCTGTTATGGTTCTTTCTGTGCCTGTGAGTCAGAGAGTGTTATAAGATGGGCAGAGAGCTGTTTTAAAGCCTATTACAGTGCGGGCCCTGTGTAAACTCTGCACCTGAGCCCTGTGTGGACTGCTCAGCCCTCTGTGGTTCTTTCCAGGGAGACAAAGGACACTGTATATCATCTCCGATTTCAATATATTTTAATTAGAGAAAACAATAATTAAAGATTTACTATCATGTATTATCTGTGAACTCTCTATATATTTAGAGATTGTCTACTATTTTCAGACGGATCATTTCTTTGTTAAAAAAAAAAAATCCATTATTTTCTTTTGCTGTGGATTGTTTTTAAAAAAAATTAGAACTAGCAATAAAGAACCAGAAATGGAATTCCTGGTCGACCTCCATTAGGCAAATAAAACACTGGAAGGCAAATTTTTCTGACATATTATTTAAGTTTCAGTGAACTGGCCCTTTAATAAAGTAGTTGCAATGTTTTACATCCATATTCCTATTGGCTTGTTCATTTTGCTCCTCAAAGTAAACTTTCAGGTAAAGTTTTTTGAACTCAAGAGTTCTATCACAAAAAAAATCCACATTTCTTTTTTCCCCCTCTCACGCTGATGGCCCTCGGCTCACACTAGGACGCAGCTTTAGGCTTTTAAACTCTCCACCTGTCATCCTGTCCTCTTTGTCCTTTTAGAGTGGGTCTGACACAAACTAGCCTCTTTCTAGCCAAAAAAAACCTCCGCATCAGTCTCGTACCAGATGCTGTAGCGTGGCCTCATTACCGGAATGCAAACGCAAGCAAAACTTGTCTCCCGACACTGACTGAGCTCCCACATTATGTGTGTTTATTTTTATAATTCATTCCTGATTTATGTTGTGACGGGGAATGTAAATACAAACAATTTTTGGCCCAGAAAACATAGGCTTTGCATCGAGAAACTGTCCATCTTAATATGTCGTCGTATATCGTCGAGTATGTACTTCCACTGGGAAAAAATGGTCATGTAAGAGAAAGCTAAAAGTATCGCCTGTAAAATGGGCTTTTTTTAGGTTGAAGGATGTATTAGGAAGTGTGAGTTTGTGCGTGTGTGTGTGTGTGTGAGTGTGTGTGTGTGTGTCGTGCTGCACCCCTCCTTCCTCTCTCCCTCTGCTCACCACCATTTTTGACAGTCTCTGCTGATTTTAAGACTTCCTCTTGAGTAAGTGGTTCGTTTTTCACAAACAAATCTCTCTGCCTGAGTGTGCCCATCTTTTTCTTCCCCCCTTTCCTCTCTCTCTCTCTCCCTCTCTCTGTCCTATGTCTTCCCTTCCTCCCTCTTTCACTATTTAAATTTGGAGTCTGCAATCAGATGCGGCATAAATATCCACCTCTTTAAGAAGCTCTAGAAAAAAGTCATTTTCATAACACAAGTGCTCAGACAAAACAGACTACCACTTGAGCTGCTTCCAATTGCACTAATTGACCAGGTTGATGAGCATGCTCCTCTTTATATTTTTAGCCCTTTCTCCCCCATCTTTTCTCCCCCACCTCCCTTCATCACTTTAACCCTGAACAACACTCCCCCTCTCCCTTCCCTTCTTCTTGTCTTACTACCTGCCCCCACTGCAGGGCTTTGTGCGGAAAAAGGGGCAATAACACTATATGGCTTTTTGCTTTGCAGGAGGAAAAAGAGTAACTGCCTTGGTTTTTCCAGCCAATGTCCATCCAGAGACAAACGCCATTGTCTTTTATTTTATCTTATTTTTTTTGGATGTCCTTCTCCCCCCCTCTCACCTCCTGAGTGCGCTTTAAATGACAACTAATGTCTCAGTTCATACACTACAGGCTACTGATGAGTATTGCGGCGGGGACAAAGGCTCCCTTTAGGTGTGATGGTGGTTTTTTTTTTTTCTTTCGGGGGTGGGCGGGGACATCTCTTATTTAAAAGACCAAGGCACAGTCATGGAACAACCCAACCCCTCCCTCAGAAGGATGGCTGCTGGCTCCCTGTGGAAGAACCGTCTCACCCTGCCCCCCCTCCCTCCCTTCCTTTTTGCTCCACCTCCCTCTCCCCTCCTCTTCTCGTCGTCACTCTAACCATTTCGTCTACCTGTCTCATCTTGTTTGTTTTGCTGTCCCGTGTCTCACTAAATGCTGACTGTTTGTCATGATTTCTAATCCCACAAACTGTCTCCAACAGAGAAGTAAAAGACACAAGCACGCACACGCACACACAAACACGCACACACACACGCACACACGCAGGGAGTGAGAGAGAAAAAAAAAGGCAGAGCATTATCATTGTGCTGCCATGATTGACAGAAGTAAAGAGCCTCCATCCATCTTAATGTAGAGTACTTTTCATATTGTTGATGTCTGCAGCCGCGGGAGGAGAGAGGGTAGTGGGGGCATGTGTTCTGCTGGGCTTTGATTCCATTTATTTTGCCCTTGAGTGGATTATTGTTTCACATGGGACATTAAACATGGGTGGCGAGGTGTTATTTAACACTCTCATACCTCCCCGGGGGGACCCTGCATGTGAACTAATCTCAGCCATTTGAGCCCGGTGAAGTCACAACGCGGCCCGGCTCTGAAAGCAGCTCCCTGCATATCCCACTCTCTGCATTACGGAGGGATATCGTATTCTATTTAATTTGCTCATCCAAACACTCCCTGGCACCTCTCACTTCGCCTCGCCAGCGGGAGTGGATGCATTGCTTTGATACCCAGCAACCCACACGGCAGCCGCGTAGGTTCAGCGAGGGCTCTCCAGTGCAACACGCGTCATTTTCATCCTATTACATGTCCGCGTGCGAACTGTGACATCACTTTCCTTCTCTCTGTTTCCTGTCTAATGGCTCCAATATACTCTGCCATGTATGCATGTCCACCTCTACAACTATGCATACATGTAAACACACGTGTACTAAGCATGCCTGTTGAAACAAAGTAATAACTTCTGTTTGCCTAATCCTTGTTCAGAGGGGACATTTTGTTTCAGATGCAGCACTATAGTTGCAAATGTGCTAGTCCCATAGAAAAGTAGAAACCATCCAAAGTTCTGTTTCTGTCCCTTTTTCACTTTACGTTCTTATCTTATTGTGTAATGATTCTCTTATTTTCTCCCCACTCTCGTTCTGGCCAAGGTGTGTTTTCGGTGTTGTATGTAGCGTACACGTATCTGTGTCCCTATCTTTTCTTTTTTGTTTTCTTGATTTCCCTCCCCACTATTCCTCTAACTCCTCTGTCTCTGCCGTGATTGGTTGACCCAGGTCATCGGGGGAGACGAGGAGCAGGGAGACGCTGGAGCTGAACATGAGCAACATCAGCGCCGACGTGCTGGAGCTGCTGCTCGAGTTCGTCTACACGGGATCCCTGGTCATCGACTCGGCCAACGCCAAGACGCTGCTGGAGGCTGCCAACAAGTTCCAGTTCAACACCTTCTGCAAAGTCTGTGTGTCCTTCCTAGGTAAGTGTGGCTCAGAAAGTCTGTATGTGTGTGTGTGTGTGTGTGTGTGTGTGTGTGCGTGTGTGCTAATTTCTTCGTCTGTAGGGCCTTTTCCAGCCTTTAAATATTAACCTTGTCCGGACCAATAGACCTCATGGGAATGAAAGCCTTCGACTTCTAAGGAAATGTCTTTTCTGAGCTCTTGCTTCAGTTTGGGGACAAAATGTGATTTGTGGTTAGGTTAAGGTTAGGTTGGGGTATTAATGTTAAGTGGTTAAGTTTAGGGACAAGGATTTGGTATTGTAATGAAAACACAATGAAAGGGAGTCAATGCAAAGTCCTAATAAGATAGTAAGAAAGCTGTGCAAAATTGTATGTGTCTGTGCAATGTTTATGTCAACTAGTATGCATGATTATTACATCACTATATCCCTATGCAACCTTTCCTGCTGAGTGTAGTATCAGCAGTTTTGTGTGTTTTCATACACTGTGATGCATCATCAATACACGCTCACACTTGCAGAGTTTCTTACGCAGAACCTTAATTTACCTCCCTTACTTAAGCCCATCACGCTCCGTTCTGTCATGTTTCCAAAGCCAGCAGCTGTGTGAGAATGTTCTCAGTCAGGCACGGTGCCTCTGAACTCGTCCCAGCGGGCAGGACCGGGCACAGGGGGCAGATTTATAAAAAGGTCAGGGAACAATAGTCACTTAAATGTCAAATCCTCTGGCCTGAACCGTGATGGAATTGAAAAATAGCAAAACAGATTGATACTCTGCCTTGATGCTTCGACAAGGTATGGAAAGTGGAGCAAAGGGGGGAGGGGGCTTGCAGGAGGTCACGTGAAACACAAATGGCATGTACCAGATTTTAGTGGGTCAGGCAACCCAAAAGCTGCAAATGTCAGGTTTTGCATCCAATTTAATAAGTTGTTTTGTTGTATTGGTAACACAAGGGAAGTGCATGTTGGCGAAAAAGGTCAGCGACAAGAAAGGGTGTGAAAAGAAAGTAAAGGAAAGCAGCAGTCCATGTTATTGATTAGTTATCTCGAATTGGGAACCAAAGAAAAGAAAAATGGAAAACAGGGAAACCATTAGCAGACTTTATCACAAGGGAGACATCAATCCATTCTTCCTCGACAAGATACATGACATTTTGGCACATTAGAACGAGAGAGATACGGGCGCGGGCTTGTGTCCTTGAGCACAGAAATTGATACGGTGTCAAAAATTATTGAAGTTTGTAACAAATACACACAGAAGAAATAGCAAACATCCCCATGACCTACTTTATTCACACAACCTCGGATTCAAACAAATACAAACTGTCATTTATTGTGTGACGGCTGCTCAGTGAGGAACTGTGATTGTTTTTATTATCTATTATCTGGAGGTGAATGAGCGACATGCTCCATACTTCAACTCTTATTACCACCATGACAAGCTTTTCACATATTTTTAGTGACTCTACCTAATATTCATTTTACATGCCCTGCATCTCCGTACATCTGAGTGAGCTTGCGCTTTTCAGCAAATTTGATTGCGATCTCTGCTGCATTGCATTGAAGAAAGTGATGAAAGGAATATGCAACATAAAGCTCATATACAAGCGTGCACACACTGTGTAATAACTCTTCATATCGACAAATGGCATTTCAGAGGGACATTTTCATACAGCCCTTTGTTTTGTCACTAACCTCCTTCCCCTCCCGTCTCTGATGCAGCGTGAAACCAGCGATTATTTGTTCTCTGCTTTGGCCTTTGTTTACTTGTGATCCTGCAGATGTTAGGTGACCTTTATTGGCTGATATTAGTTTAGGAAAGACTCTGTCTTCAGTGATAAAAGACCAGGCACTGCTTCCGCTCTGATGGCTATTGTTTAATCAGGCCTCTTTTAGTTGCCACCGACCCAGTCGATCTGAGACTTTGCTTGCCTGTGTGTGTGTGTGTGAAAGAGATGAATGGCGATGAGCGTTACAAAACTAAAATTACAGACACACAACCTTAGAGCATCATCCTTACAAGAAATCACAGACAGTTGCATAAGCCATCTCCCCACTGGCCTAGCCACACAGGTAGTTCTCTATATACTTTGAAACTACACAACCACTGTGTGTGGATGTGTGTGTGGGTGCCTGCATGCTAGTGTGTGTGTGTGTGTGTGTGTGTGTGTGTGTTTAGTATACCCCGAGATCTGACAGGACTTATTTAAAGTGGACCCACTAATCCCAAATCCCGCTCCCTGCCATCCACCACCTTGCCTGTGCTGTGAGCGATCGATTCCCCTTGTTGTTTGTCCCCGGTGCTTTTTTGAGTTATTATACTTGTTCTCCTTTAGTCTGAGGCAGATACACGGTCCGTTAGGCTACAGCTCTGTGCCACCTGCAGTCCCTGTAGCTTTCTATGTCTGTAATCTTTTTATGGATGTCAGAATCATGTTTCTGTTCACCCATCTTAATCAATCTGCCTATGTCTCTTGTTTCTTTCTTGTTTTGCTTTGTCCGTCCCCTCTGTCTTTCTTTTTGTCTCTTGAACCTTGTTCATCGACTGTAGAGAAACAGCTGACTGCAGCTAACTGTCTCGGAGTGCTGGCCATGGCCGAAGCCATGAGTTGCACGGAGCTCCACAACATGGCCAAAGCTTTTGCACTGCAGAACTTCCCTGAGGTACGTAGAGATTCATCATTTCATTTGTTCTTCCTGTGGGACAAAGTCGATGTTGAAAGGAATAATAAGACTATTAGAAAACTAGAATGGCACTCAGTAGAGCACATACCTCTGCCAGGAGGTAAAATTCAATCAAACTGCTCTAAATTATGCACACTTCACACAGATATCAGTCGTTTAAATATACCGGATTTTTTTCATCAAGATCCATGAATGAAAGAATGAAATGAAAGATCAAAAACTGCAATGTTGAAAGCTGATGTGGTGGGAAATTGTGTTGAATAAAGAGCAAAGTCAACACTGATCTTTCTGTGATATCATTAGGGACATGCAAATGGACTCATTCCATCACTTAAATAATGCGAAACTAAGCTGAGTAGTGGCAAGTACTTCAGGTCATCTCATCTTGTCCTGTCCTTGGGCGTGCAGTGAAGTGTCGGCACTTACACTTAGTTTGCCATGCAAAGACTGTAAATACTGTGTCAGATAAAAAACAAATTTTAACGTTTGTGATGAGGAATATGAACAAAATTAATAAGATAAAGCTTAGAAATTAGAATTTATGGATTTCATGGTAATCCCCCCATAAACAAACAAACCTGTATAAACAGACAACAGGGTCTTTGGTGGAGGTATACCGATGAGAAAGTCTGATATTTTCACCATGCTTTATACTGCAGAGGACAATATTTTCTACCCCATTTATGGATCTGTTTGTTCAATAGCAGAATTAAAATGCTTCGCTCGGGTAAAAGCTTTCACCAGATACAAGGTCATTTACTGTAGGCGCACAATGTAGTGTACTGTGTGAGACTAAATGCACTTCACTTGTTGCCATGCCGCTGTTAGATAGCCTGATGAAAAGAATATAGACAAAGACACAAAACACAAAACACACAGAGACAATGCAAAGAGATTTGTCTGTAGCTGACGAGAAAGATTAATAACATGAAACCACGTAGGAAAGAAACTCGCTCTACAGCACTCTGGAGTCTTAAAGTAATCTATAGCGTGAGAAAAACAAATCTGAATTTATTGCTTGCTCTATAGACGGAGTAGTGAATTAGTGAACCTATAGATGCAACAGATATGGCAGGAGCTTCCTGCTTACTGAACATTGGTACTTATCTTCCCAACAATTTGTTGGAAATACACATAATTGGTATACTTCTGAAAATGTAGAACTGTTCCTTTAACTCTTGTAATCTTCAAATCAAAGCAGCAAAACTGAGCTTTGATTGGCAGTAATCAACTCGAGAAAAGAAAGACTACGGTTCATGAAAGAAAATCACATCAGGAGGGAAACGAGGAAATATCAGAAATTAGATAGTTAAAGTCAGCATCTCACAAAGAATTCATTAAATCTGTGGTGATAACAGGGGGGAAACAAATGTACACGTGCACGCGCAGGAAAGCAGCTCTCACACACAACAGATTCTGAGTGATGGGTACAGGCACTAGGTACCGAGGTATAGATAAGTTCTTGCATGAGCGAAAAACCACATTGCATGCTACAACTGTAGCTCAAACTATAAGGTTTGATTGTCTGCGTGGACGGTAAAAACATTATGGACCATAGCACTTGATAACTCATGGTTGCACAAATGAGCATGCTATTTTCTAAAAAAAAGAGTAAAAATTGTTTTAGTTCATTATGAAACTCGTTGGTGGGATAAATCAGATAATTAAGTGGAAATACTGAATGTAGAAAGTGAGACACTGCAATTTAACTGACTCATGATTTTGTCTTCCTTGACCTGTCAGGTTGCAGGACAGGAGGAGATTCTTAGTGTTTCCGAGGAGGACCTGGTGGCCTATCTGTCCAACGACAGTCTAAACACAAAGGCGGAGGAGCTGGTGTATGAGACGATCATCAGATGGATCAAACAAGACCCCAACTCCAGAGCACAGGTAATACAAACAAGAATGAGTGTGTTTGTGAGTGTCTGAGTACACACCGTAGGTGCAACATGGGATGAAAAAAAGTAAAGCCCTTGTTACCACTGACAGTACAGATACTGTATGTCTGCAGAGCCGTATTACTGTAGTTGTTGCATCGACCCTCGCTGTCGGCCCCCGAGAACTGCACAACATGAAAAACCAGACGAGTTACTCCTCATTGTATCATAGGTAGTGTTCATCACCTTTGTGTTTTGGATGCAGCCTAACGCAGCAGTTGTTGATAATCCCAGGAGTGCTTTGCCCTCAGAATGTGCTCTATTCTTAGTTCCACTTCATTTGTTTGTGAGACACTGTACCGCATGAAAATAACCAACAAAAACACACAGACACACCCTTTTCTTTTTCTGTCCGCCTCACAGGTGTTTAATTTTATTCCTGCAGTCTGTTAATCATAATCTAAGGTCTATTGCTTAGATTGCTATTGACGTATACAGCCGGTAAAATGTTTAAGAAATGTGGAATCAATAAGCCTCAAGGTCGAAGCTTCGACTCCAGCCAACATTTATGAAAAGGTAAACAGACGCCGCGCTGCAGACGGATATCCATCTGGCGGGCGAAAGCCTCAGGTCCTGAGGATCTTTTATGGATTCAGTTACAAAACCCATGAATTTAAAACTGATGATTTTTAAGTATTTTATAGCTGTTTAAAAATGGAGGTAAGATTATTATCAGATAAATTACACCAGTCCATCACTGTAAGAGTCACTCACTCAGAGTAATGTCTTCTCATCAAGCAGCAAGTGGGGGAAGCGGCCTTATATCAGCAGAATCAGGTTCGGCGCAGACCTCTGCAATCAATGTTACTTTATCGGCATCCACTTTTATGTGGTACATTCGTCAATATTTGAATTTTTCCCCTTTGGGATTAAACATTTAGCATTTATCCTTTGATACGTATTTCTCTGAGATTATAATGAAATCCAGTTGGCAGGTATTAAGTGTCGGACAAAGCTAAAGAACAAACCGCTGAAAGCTGACGACGATGCTTATCAGAAATAAGATAAAGGAGTTATTCACTTCAGCCATTTTCAGACATGAAGAATTCCTGCACAATTTTATCTTGACTTTCTCTGGAGTTTGCAGTGGACAGGATGTAACGTATATATTCCACTGCGGAGATCACATGTCTTTGTTAACAGCACATCAACATCAGCTTCGGCCAGTATCACCGAAACCTCTTTAATCTCTTCGTCTTTCCAAGTTGACATCTCCGTCTGGTCTTCTATTTGTATGAGTCCTCTTTTTCATCCTGACATATTTGTATTGTTGTTGTTTTTTCATTTTTGCATCTGTCGTGTGTTAGAAATGGCATCTCAGTGAATCCTCCAAAGTTTTTACTGGGGGGCTGGTTGGAGAAATCTGGAGAAAGTGTGACTGAGCCATTTGCGTTCTCACATACAGCCCCTCCAGACAATGACAAGAGATTATGCAGAGTTCAGTGCATGACCCAATGCAGCTTTAAATAAGAGAGAAACAATATAGAGAATAGAATAGAAGTTTGTTTGACATGGATATCAATCTGTCCTCCTGACAAATCCACTAAAATTGTACTTTGTGTGGTGACTGATGGGAAAATTTTACTCGGTGGGCCTGCAAAGTCACACGGAGCCACGAGAAGGCCGGAGCGCAGCTTTCAGGAGAACATACGATCCCCGTCATCTGTATGGAGGAAAAAAAACCTCCAGCCAGCTCAGTTCAGTGGACTCCTGCAATCACACACTCTAATGGAGAGGTGCAGAGGTGAGTTACTCTGATGGAGTAGAAGAAAAAAAAAGAAATGGAACATTTTCCCGGTTGTCTGAACAACCCGCCACACTGATTCCTGAGAAGAGACACCGAGTCACCCCGTCTCCAAAGAGCGGGAGAGAGAAGGAGAAGGGGTGGGAAGAGAGTTGGAGCGAGAGAAAGAAGCAGAGCGAGACAGAAAGACAGAAATAGCCGTGGAGTGATTGAGAGAAGAGAAAGCGGTGGCGAGAAATGAAGAAAAGTGGAATGGAGAGAAAGACCCACTGTGTTCTAATCTGATATCCAGTGGTTTGTGCTTCTGCGCAGAGCCATGACATCCAGGGAGCGGAGATGCGATTGAGCTCCCAGTCAAGCTCAACTCTCCTGCCCATGTGTGACCGGAAAAAAAGAATAAAGAAACAACTAGCAGGGCCTGGTTCCGGCAGAGAGAACAGGAGAGGAGGAGGGCAGGGAGAGGATAGACTGCTTCCCTCATGCCACAGGAGAAGGTCATGCGATCCTAAGGGCTGACTTTACATGCATGGCCCACCACCAGCTCATCACTCCCATGCTCCCTCGCCTCCATCCCATCTGCCCGTTCGGAGGCAGAGAGCAGCGGAAATCACTCCCCCAGAAACTGTGACACTTTTTAATGACATGTCAGGGCAGAATGTCACAGCGCTGCCGAAAAGCTCCGGCAACACGGGGGAAAAGCTTGAAGCCTTGAGCTAAGTTTGTATGCGTTTTCATTCGTCTGAGCGTGCGTGTTTATGTGGGTCTTTGTGCGTTTGTGTGTCTGTGCATGCGCTGTGGGTTGTAAGCTGCAGGCTACAGAGTGGAAAAGTGGCATATTGAAGGCGCTGGGTAAATAATATGCAATTTTCTCTCTCCGGTATGCTGTCACTAACATCCAGTGGCACCAGGAAACAGGGCCCGGACATCGCTCAGAGACAGAGGAAGAGCATTGGAGTGTTAATAATGGTTTGCTATGAGACACAAAGTCACTGAATGAAAGACGACAGCAGTTACAGTTTTTTTTTGATTGAGTATCATTGAAGGTGTGCTGCCCTGCAAGCATCTGTATACATCTGTTTCTATATTTTAGAGAAAATGGGTAATGCCGAGGGTAATCTCTCAAAGTTAATTTAAAAAAAAGAAGAAGATTAGACCGATAAACACATTATTCAATTATGAAAAATGCAGGCCTAGGATAATTTATTTATATATATAATGTACATATACTCTATAAACAGCTTGTGCTCGTGAATATGCAGGATCTGTTGGCGAGGGATGAGATTTTGGGGAAGAAAGCCTTCTGGATTCTAGTTTGACTGATTAGCAGCAGGTTTTGGTTGTAAACAGTCCGTGTGGAGACGAAAAGAGGTGGAACGTGCATCAGCTTTTTATTTTATTGATATTAATATGCAGATAGCTGTCAACAGAGGTTAGCCAAAAAGGTTGCCTGGACCTGAAACACCTGCAAAAAGTGTTGCTGTTGGTTTGTTTGTTTTTTTAATATGTAAAAACGTAAAATCTTGTGGATTAGTTGGATTATAAACATGGAAGACAGAGTCTTGGCCCAGATATCCATTGTCTGCAACTGAAAATCAGATCACTTCCTGAATACCAAAAAACATCAAACAGCAACTCTGCTCCAAGTGTTTCTAGACAAAGCTCGATTTTAGTAAGATTTGCAACATCTTTTTTTTATAGCCTATAAAATCCACCTTTTAATATCTCAGTATTGATTTGAGCATCTTCAATGGAGGCCGCTTCAATCAGGTCTGACAGGAGAAGGATGGGAACCACACCTTCAAGCAGCTTTGTTCAATCTAGTGTGAAGGTTCCCTCTTTGTGTTTAACATCAGTAAAGAAAACTAACACCGAAAGGAGAAGGGGTGGTGCCTGTAGCCATAACTCCCCCAAATTTTTTTTATTGCCTGTAAAGGCTCATTCATCATTAGACAATGGCCAATGGGCTCCAAGAGTGATGCAGATATAACCTCTAAACATGGAGATTTGTGCTGCTTTGTACATCTGAGACTAAATCTCCCTCCTCCCTGAATCCTCAATACACTGCTCCAATAAGTCACATAAACAAGAGACTGTAAAAAGACTTCCCTGCGTCGTGTTTTCTCTCTGAAGGTGCTGACACAGAGCGACCTGTCCTTCATTTCTCCTCGTCTTTTGTTGGGGACACCTCCCAGACACACGGCTCCAATTATAACTGGCCAGTCTCTGCCAAGTCCCTGAATAGGACGTCCATTACGCCTCATTTCAACATATTTCATAAAGGATTCTATCTTGCCAGGTGACTTAACCTGACAAAAGAGGCAGATTAATTGGCTCTTTGGAAAGTGGCCAGCTAATGGAACAGCTAAAAAGGAGAGTTAATGGTGTATTTTCATGATAAAAAAAGGCCAGCGCTGCCATTAGCAAGGACCCACTGTCCACTCATCAGAAATAACAGTGGCCTGCCCTAACACTTCCAGCTCCCAAGCCCAATTAATAGAGTAAAAGGTATTATTTCATATGCTTATGATTTTCTAGGTAAAAATTTGTAGATTTTTTGTATAATTCAGTTTGCTATTATGGTGATGTGATTCTTTTATTTCCCTTCCAATACTCATTAAGAAGAATAAAATCATTTTCCCAGAACAAATGATGCTATCATTATGTAGTTAGAGTGCAAAATTATCAAAGGACAAAAAATGCTTTGAGGCTGTTGAGGGATATAAACTGAGTATCGCTGTTTTACGATTCATTTACCTTCAAAACTAGGAATGACCCTTTCACTTTGAATTTAGCAATTCTCTTTTTAAGCTCCAAGTTCAAAACAGACACTGTTCATGATCGCACACCCCTTAAAAAAGGTTAATTGTTTTTTTCTCTGAGATGAGGAGCTTCATGTCACAACAATCATCTTTAAGGAGGAAAGAGAAAGTGTTGCAGAGCGAGTGGGGATGAATGTGACGCAGGCCACCGGCAGCATGATCTGTGACACAGCTCTTGACAAGACACAGCCCGGCAATGGAGATTGATGCAGCGAGCAGTCTCTGCTTTTCCTTCTGCATCTCTGCCTCCTTTTCACTTTGTCTCTTTCTCTCCAACACACACACCCACACACACACACACACACACACACACACACACACACACACACACACACCAACATGCGTGTCTCTCTATAGTTGTGAGGACACTCATTGACATAATGCATTCCC